CCACAAAATTCCCCTCGTTTCTTTTTAATGTTTTCCTCACCCACGATGTGACACAGCAGCAGCACGGAGCTCACGGGGAGGCAGCTGAAAGCACGTCCACTCGGAGATCACGAAAACAAGGCTGCTGCCTTCTGGGTTATTTATAAATCAAGCTGGACAAATAAACGTTTCCTACCCAGAATGGTCAAGGTTAAGAACCCATAGTTCTCCTTCCCTATGGGGATGTCGCTGGTGACTCATTCCTGGCAGCACTCGGGGGCTTCCAGCACAGGGTGGGCAGAGGCAGCCAAGGGCTCCCTGCAAGGGGCCATGCTCATTTGTTGCTATTTAGCACCAAAAAGCTGTCTGTAATACGTGTAAATCCTTTATAAAATAAAAATTAAAACTGGCCGGAGCACCATCTTGAGGCAGATGCTGGAAGTGGTGGAAGAGAATCTTGGAGCATCTTCCAGAGGAGGGAATCACCCTTGGACAAAGTCTCTGGTGCTGAGTATTCATCATAGAATCATTGCCATGGATTGGCGGGGCTGTAAGGGTCCTTAAGTCATAGGACCATGAGATGATTAGTTTGGAAGGGTCCTTAAAGATCGTAGAATCATAGGATGGTTGGGTTGGAAGGGTCCTTAAGGGTCCCTTTGGATGGCATCCCTTCCTCCTGTCATGTCAGCTGCATCACTCAGACCTCAAACTTGCTTTGTGCACTTCCAGCCTCACGATCTCAGTCTGGTATTTCTCCTACACTAAGATGGATTTTCTCCTTCAACCCCTGCCTAGAGGTTCAGGGATATGAAAGACACGGGAAGCTCAACTGCCAGCAAACCCCCAGGTCCTTCCCCTATTCTGTACCCAAAACTCTTCCATGCAGCAAGACCAGGCAGTGGGTGAATGCTTGGCTGCTGGGCCCCACCAACACCAAACCAACTCTCAGCACTCCCAGCCTCACCACACAGAGAACCCTCCGGGCTTATCACAGCATCAGAGCAGTTGGGAGACAGTTGAGTGTCTCTCAAGGGGCTGATAGGAGGGAAAGCTTTGCTCCTGCAGATAAGAAGTCCTCCCTGAGGAGCCAGGGGAGTCCGTTGGTATCTGAGTGTCTTCCAGAGCCTGGCAGATGAACCCTCTGAGCACACGAGATGCTCATGGAGGCTGCAGATGCTGTATTTTTGAGGTCAGCTAACCGAATCCCTCGCTATCATCTGTTTTCTTTTCTCTCCAATTATTTTGCTCTTGTTGATGAGGCCTTTGTGGTGACCTCATGGGCTCATCAAGCTGTAAACAGATGTCTGGATCCTTGCGTTTTTAGAGATTAACAGGGGGAAGATGAGCACTTTGGGGCGGCAGTTCAGGCTAACATTTTGAAATACTTAACAGCTTCCTTCACCTGAATGCTTGGGAAGCTGCCCAGCCCTTGCTGCAGGTTACAGGAAACTAAAAGACGGGAGATTCGAGTTAGGAGGAAACTTTTTACTTGGATGAGGACAGGCTGCCCTGAGCTGTGGGTGCTCCAGCTCTAGAGGTGCCCAAGGCCATGCAGGGGTGAGAACAGCCCAGAGCATGGGGGGCTTGAAGGTCCCTTCCAACTCAACCAGCCTATGGTTCTTTGATCTTTAAGATCCCACCCAACCCAAGCCAGGCTGTGATTCTACAGCTCGATGAAGATGCAGGTTTGTAAGCATCTCTTGCCTGGTTTGGGTGGAACAGCTGTATCTAGAATACAACCATTCACTGCCACATCCACTGCTCCCCCCATAAGCCCACAGCAGCAAATCCAGCTTTTGCTGCTCATGTGCCATCTGCTGCTCACACACCAAGAAAGGAAAAAACCCAGGACTCCTTTATCCAGAATTCAACAGACCTACACCTCCAGTATCAGGTAAAACTGGAGGAACGAGGGCATGCACAGAGAAGTTGTTCTGTTGTAAAGTCAACATATATGTGAAAACAAATATTTCTGCATATACAACATTGCTCTCACAACTTTTGTACACTTCATATTTAAAAAAAAAAAATACATATTTATTCCCTTTTCATTTTAAACCTGCTGCCCCACTGTGTTCCTTTGGCCCTTCTTACCTCCTGCTTCTGCTTTTCTTTTTTCCCCTCTCCACAACCAAGGGAAGCCTCCACATTTCCAAATATGTTCTTTTACCTCCAAACAGAGGGGAAAGATGGAATAGTGTTCAAAACAACATGATTTTGCTGTGAAGGAGAAATTTAAAAGCAGTGGCCATGGGGGCACCCCAGCCTATAGCCCCAGCTCAGTGATGGGAGCCCTGTGCCATCTGCTGGCCCAACCCCTGCTGCAAGGTCTGCAGGAAGAAGGGAATCCCCATCGCGCAGCCTAGCAGAAAATAGGCTTTTTAACTTTAAGTCTATCAGCCATTTTCCAGCTGAAAGGTTGCACTGACCCCACAGCAGCTGTGCAGAACGCTCCATGCCTCCTCAGCTGCTGAGCAGGTGGGGAATGCAGGCACTGAATAAGCACAGTTCTTGGCCAGGGCTGTGCAATGACCAGCACAACCATATGCACCAAACAGCACAGGGCAGATGCTGAGGCACTCGCAGAACTCTGCCATTGCCCCCCTCCTTTCCCTGGAGGAGAGTTCAGACCAATGCAGCAGCAGCAAGCAGCACGGCACAGAGGAGTAGATTCCATAGGATCCACAAAAGCACAGCAAAAACTGAAAGTGCCCTATTGCTGTGCACCTCACAGAAGCTTCACCTGCACTCCCACACCAACAAGAAAAGTAATTGCAATTTATAAAGGTTTCGAGCATCCAGCCAGGACTCAGACATGGTCAGCTCACGCATGTTCAGTTTTCACCTTAGCTACTCAGGTTCAGCCCTTGAAATGTCCCCACCCTCAGGCACTGCTTGCAGCATTTCCAAGCTCTGTGTTTCCTGGTGGTGTTGCTGAGCACTTCGGGGGTTCAGAGTCCCCTTTGTAGCCTGAGTCTCCTTGGACACAAGTCCAGACCTTTGTACTGCCTTCCCACGTGTGATGAAGGACCCAGAGCCTGCTGCCTGCCTGCTTTTTTGAGACAGTACCTTTGGTCATACAGAGGTTATTTCTTCCTGCAGACCATGCTGTACCTCCCATAGGTTACTGCAATCACAAAAACAAGCAAAAATGAAGATGAAGGCCAGGGCTCAGAAGCAGAGGATTGCCAATAGCAGCAGCAGACTGCTGAGTGCAAAGGAAGAGAGGCAGAAAAAGCAGCTCCCTGGGGTAGGGGCACTGTGTGTGCCCTGCTGCAAGCCCCTCCCAGCCCTGCACGGGCACTTGAAGGCTTTAAAGTGTTTTTTCAAACTCGGGAAACGTCTGGGCCAATAAACCAGGATTTCCTTTCCATCAGCTCCGAGCATTTGATCACCATTCTTCCATTGAACACCACCATTGCCAGCCAAGGACCGTTTCCAAGCGCTCTCCAAAGCTCTGTGCGTTTTTCATCTCTGCATCTCACTGCAGCTCTTTTGCTTTTCCTTCCCACTGTTTATCTCTCGCTGCACTGAGCCTTGCTTGGACTTCCTGTTTGGTTCTGTGGTTCGTAGCTTTCTCGTTTGCTGTTATTTTTGACTTCCATCCAAGCTTTGTGTGATATTAATAGCCACTTCACAGAGCCATGGCCATCCTCAAACCAGCCCTAATATTAGCAAAAGAGCCAAGAAGCCGAGTCCCTGAGGGATTCCAGCTCCCATTTTCTCCTCCGTGGCATCACTGCTGCCCACAGCTCAGCCCCCAGCCCAAAAGCAATAAATGAATCCATCACCCAACCCCCAGAGCCACCCAGTGGGGCTGTGGGAGCAGCGGTGTGGAGTTGGCCGCACAAGAGGTGGAGGAGGAGCTGCGGCTCAGGTTTATCCAGGCTGAGAAGCGATGCAGTCCTGAATGCAGCAAGAGATGGAGAAACACCTTGTGAGAGAGAAATGTTTCTATGGAAGTGCTTAGAAAGAACATGCTCACGTGATGATTCAGGAATTAGAACTTACTGAGTGTCCACCTGGTGCCTCAACAGCCTCGTCAAGATCATCACTTACCACCAGTCTGGTTACAGCAGTGATAACAATATCCAAACTTCTCCTTTTCTATTAAGGGCTGCAAAGAACAGGAAAAACAATCTGCCCCTTTCCTCTGATGAATTCTCCTCCCTTCCTTTGCATTGCTACAGTGACTCATCAGCATCCTGAGGTCTTTTGAGGGAGAAAATAAGAAGCTGATGATGGTTTTTGGCTCCTTTGTGCCAAGAGAAACACGATGCCAAGGTTCAGGATTTCTCCCTTCTCATTTTAGGGTTTAATTGGGGCTCTATTTATGTACTTTTAATGCCTTCCATACTCGATTCCTTCTGCACACGGCTGCAATCCCACATTACGTTCACTATACATCACATTTTTCCTCTTCTGTTTGTTTTGACCACTAAGACCAATTTTTGTCATTTGCCCAAGCTGTTACTTAATGAGTGGTAACAAATCATCAGTGAGCTGCAAGCAGCCCTGGGCCATCCTATGCACACTGCCCACAGACCACAGTACCTGCTCCTCCAGGGAACACACCACATTTATCACAGGCACAGTCACCATACCCCACAGTTAAATAAAACCACACAAATTCAGCTGCTGAAATGCATTAGGTAACAGCCACCCAGCTGCTAAGCAGTTGTGGTTTGAGACAAACAAGCTAAACAAACTAGAGCAAAGTTTCAGGCAGGTCTGGACAGCCCCAGCCACAAACCAGCCTGACCAGCCCAGCACCAAGGGCTCCAGAGTCTGTGGCCCCTTTTAATGATAGCAGCAGTGTCACACGTGGCAGGATACAGGACTGCAGGATGTATTCCTCTTCTGTCACCTCAGCCCTGTTGCTTTCTAAAAGCTGTAATGCTAACAAAGTCATCTCCTGGGAGGAATCCAGGGCGAGTTCCAATCCTGCTGCTCTGAGCACAGGGTTTCCTTCAGCGTTTATTCAGACCCCAGACCTACTTTGAGAAGGGAAGGCAGCAGAGTCAAGGCGAGCAGAGCAGGATGCTTTATTCTGGTTTAAGCTGCACCTCAGCATTGCCAGAGCAATGCAGCACAAGAACCTTCTGTAACACTGCCCAGGCAAGAGCTAAAATGCCACAGTACAGCTGAAGTGTTCAACAGAGTACAGAACCACAGCTCACAAGGAATATTGCGATTTACTCCGCTGCTGTGCGGGTTAAGATCATTTTCCACAGCTCAGTAAAATCACATTTCATGAACTTCTGTACATTCACCCTAAGTTGCTTCCTGCGCAGTACTGTGCAATTCATCTCTCTCTGCTTGGAGAAGCAGGTACTCCTAAAATCAAGGGTGTTTAAAAATCATCCTTTAACGTTATCTAGAGAAAGTCCTCTGCAAAAGTCTCCCCTGGTGAATCCAAGACAAATGCAGCACTGCCACCTTGAGGATGAGAGGCTGCACCTCCACAATGCTTCAGCCATCAGGCAGAGAACAACGTGCTGCTGAGAAGCAGCGGGGAGTTCAATCATCTATATTAATACTTGGAATAGGACTTGTATTTATTTTCTTCACCAATGCTAAAAGCAGGTAGTAAAAATCCAGCACTGTGCAATATATTAATAACAATCCCATTGAAAGTCTTACTTAGGCTGAAAGAGAAAAGGAAAATGAGATTATTTCACAAGCTGCCGAGGAGAGGAGCTGCTGCACTCGTGTATATTGGTGTGCAAATCCTAGGAGGACATCTATTCCCAGGTCCATTTCATTTCAGCACGGGAGAGGCAAAGAATCTGCCTTGACGCCTCAGCTGGGTTGCTGACTTGCTTTTGTTCACAGATCTGGTTCAAGAGAAGTTGAGAAGGTGAGGTTTGAGTTTCGGATACAGACATCCAACAGCCTCCCTTCCCCAGGGAACTTCACTCAAGTTCTACCCACCACCCAAGGAAAAAAAAAAGAACAACCAAAAAGCCCACTTGCACACCTTCACCCTTCCATAAGACAAGGCTCATTAACCATTATGCAGCTTGCACTGTTACTACACCACTAATTAAGGCAAATAGATCCAATAGTAAATCCAAGCTGCTCCCAGAATTGTGTCCACAAGTCTATTTTACTTCCTCTTGAACACCCAAAGCACCTGCAGCCATCAAAACATTTCCATATGGCACCCAGAGGAACTTACTTGGGGGTCATGCTGAAGGTGGAGAGGACCTTTTGGCACAGGGAGCTGGAAGACAGCCTCCTGTACATCTGCCTCTCTGGAGTAGTGAGGGGTTCAAATATGCACTCTATAAAAAAAAAAAAGAAGAGGCAGTGAAGCGAGCAGCATGAGGACAGCTGAGTTTTCATTGCTATGCAAGCAACATCTGACATTTCCCAGCGTCTGTCAGAGATACCAGATTTGTCTAGTATTTTCTGGCATGCATTCTTCCCCTCTCCCTCCCTGCAGCATGCAGGAAAGGCTAATTCCAACACTCTCACAAGCAGCTTTGATTGAGGATCATTATTTTCCATACAGAAGCCGCACAGCCAGTAGAGCAGCATCCAGCTATTACCTTTAACATCTGGTGTCTGTGGAGTGGAGTAGGCATTGGTGTTCTCAATTACATGTGCTGGGTCCACGTTTTCTTGCTCCACCATCATCAGCTGGCTCCAGTATTCCATAGGCAGCAGCAGAAGCCGCTCCACTACCTACAGATACACAGTGAGCATCCAACATCAGGAACTGCACGCAGCCCTGACACGCAGACACCGGGCAGGCATCGCCTCAGCTCCCAAGGCAGGATCCTTTAGTGCAGTCCATTTACCCACAGCAGCTCTTCCTGCTCCCCTACCTTGGGCTGCCGCTTTGTGTCCTGCAGGAGCGTCATCGGGTCAGGATCAGGCACTGCATGAGCAACTATGGTGGGGCCAAAGACTTTGGCCAGGTTGGTGACGTCCATTTTGGTGTCAGGGCTCTGAGCCACTCTGTTTTTAAAACAAAGAAACAAAGAAATGGAGTTTCTCCCTTTATCTCTTACTTAATGCTCCTGGCCCAAGACTTCTCACTCACAGGCAGCAACAGGAGACTATCAGAGAACACACCAGTGGCAATAAGCTCCTTCCTGAACTATCACTCCATCTGAACATACCTCTGCAGATGAACCATGAGAAAAGCCAGGGTGTCCCTATTGGCCCGAGGAAGTTCCCCAACTGCTTGGTACATAGCAGCCACACTGTTGTCCTCATCTGAGATTTCTGAGGGGAAAAAAAATTGAAGAACAAAAGTTTACATCTCAGAAAGCAGTTCTAGAGACACAGCTGTAGTATTCCCCTCACAGTAAGAGCTAGCCTGAGAAAAACCAGGAACCCTAAGCATTCCAGTAGTTCTATATCCTGGTCAAGCACTAGAATGTAACAGAATCATCACAGAATGGCTTGGATTGCCACCCACTAAATCAGTCCCACCCAGCCTGGCGCTGAGCACCTCCAGGGATGCAGCACTCACACTTCCCCAGGCAGCACCTTCTGAACTAAGAATTCTCTCCTCACATCTCACCTAAACCTCCCTTCTTAGTTTAAAACCATCCCCCTCTTGTCTTACCGCTATCTGACCCTAAAAAGTTGCTCTCCCTCCTAGTTAAAAGGCCCCCTCCTGTTTTGGAAAGAACTTGAATTTCTTTCCTCTTTTGCTGTGCTATCTTGGAATTTCTCCCCAGCAGCCTGAGTATCCGCAGCAGAGCTGCAGTAGGAGCAGCAAGGTCTGCCAGCTCACGTGTGAGATAAACCCGTCATTAAGCCTTTGAAAAATGTGGGTGTCACTTTCCGTCTCCTTACCTGCAGCTTCCATAAAAGTCTTGTTTAACCTAAAGGTGAGAAGGGGTTCTTTCAGGTTGCGTAGAAAGTCTTTCAGGAGGCCGCAGATGGCGTGGATATCATCCACATGACTGAGCAAGGGGATATTTTTTGATCTGAGAAACTTCTCTTTCAGTTCTCTCACTGTCTTGTCACAGCCAGATATCCGGTAAAGGCCCTTCTGTCGGCAGAAAGCATTGCATAGAGGCAGAGTATCAGTGCACAAAGGCTGCCTTCTTCTGTTCCCACTTCTTCCCCACACCTGAGCACTCAGCACAGCCACGGCTGCTCAGTCTCCCACTGAGCAGTGCTGCACACACCATTAACAAGAGACATTTAGGGTGACTGTCTGCTTCCCCAGCATCCCAAACCCATTTCACCAGCACTCTCCCTCCCCTCATTTTTACCTCATGGAGGCCTCTCTGCTCGATCTCGTTAACACAGTGCACTACGATGGAAGGGATCATTGGAGGAGCAGAAGGGACAAAGTCCATTAACGTACCCTAAAGGGCAGAAGAGCAGCAACAGAAAAAAGTACTCAAGTCTTCATGACACAGAAAATATTTTCTAAGGAATTCACAGCAAGATTTAGGCTCAAGAACAAGCCTTGTTTCTTGTTCACCAGCCCCGAGCAGCACTACACCCATCAGCACACTGCTGCAAGATCGCCCACGCCGAGCTGCTACACACACACACAACATAACACCACTGCAACAAGACATCCCCACCAACCAGCCCTGGTTACTGAACAGAACTTCAGCAAGTCGGTTTGTTTTTTTTTATTATGCAGCTCTGAGCAATGGGAGCTCTTCTGCAGCAAGGCAGACTTACTGGAGCTTAAGCACGTCCCAGCTCCAGCCAAGCATTTACCTGTTTGGGTCAGCAGCCATGCATTGCCCCAGACTTACCTCCCCAATTTTGACAGGAGGTCCTGTCAAGGTGGGGATGCAGGGAAGAGGACAGCGATCCCGACACTCTGGATGACTGACCACATGGCAGTCTCTGCACTTCAGAGAGATTTTTCCAAATTTCACTCTTTTTCCACAAGGAACACATGACTCTGGCTTGATAACCTAATGATTCAGAGCATACAGACAGGAAGAAATTAGTGCCTTGTAGTAACTCAGCTTAAACTGGATAACCAGGCAGATAACAGGCACGGTGAATACTGACTTGGGATGTAATGGCTGGTGGTTTCTTATCAATTAGCTTGCTATCAGACACATCTAATGAAAGCAGATACTTTCCAAGTTCCTGCCTGCAAACCTACCGTCTTTGAGACAAAGTCATGCAGCCTCACTCCCCCGCTGCTCTGTGGGGTGCCAGAACCATTACTCTCTGGTTTGAATTCCACCTGCTTAGAGCCTAAGCTTGTTTCACTGCTCCAAGGCTGCAAAGGACCTAGAAAACAGAAGAGGAATGTCAACTAGATGGGAACTGTTCCCTTGTGCGTCCCTTGCTCCAGAGAAAATGTGCTACAAATCAGAGGCAGCAGCTTAAGTTGTGGAGCATAGGAAACTGCAATGACAGGACATCCTCCAGCTAAGCAGTGATTAGGACTAGGACAACAGGCTGACACCTACCACTCTTCCTCTGGCTTCTCAGGCCATAAGGCACAGTCTGGATGGTAGAGATGGCTTCGATAGGACCACCATCACCAGGAACCATGAGAGTCGTCTTTGCCACTATGGATTCATTTCCCTGTAGCAAGAAGGATGTTGTTAGTGACAGCAGTGCTGACGGGACAAGGATTTATGTCTGCTGGCCCTGGAAACAGATGTGCACTGTGGCCAACTGCTATAGGCGCACACGAAGCCAGCTGGAACCACCATACCTGGTCTGCTGTGGAGCCAATCGATCGGATTTTCTTCTCAGGAGCTGGTGGGCCTTCAGCAAACTGCCTGGAAGAGCGCTGAAAAGACACAGTAATTTAGTCTAAAAGGCAGGTAACACTATTAACTTAGTGATATAGAAGTTCAGCACAACTAGAGAAGCAGAACAGCTGACTGCACACAATGCAGCAGCATTAAGCTCTCCATGGTATCAGCTGCCCATCAGAAAGTAGAAGAGTATCAGGAGGCCTCAACATACAGCTCCTTCAAATAGCTCCCCTGGCCAGCTCTATACTCCACCACTACCAGTCTAGAGTGGAAATTTTCCTCCTGTGTAGAACAGAAAGATTAACTTCCAACAGGAAGCTTCCCTGCACTGTTAGCTGCTAGTAATTCCTAAATACTCTCTTACAAACTCAAGTTCATAACAAGACAGCTGAAACTCCACTCATTGTGCCCTGTGGAAAAACAGCATCAGAAATAACTTTCACACCAATTCTACACAGTAAGTCTGAGTTATATTAGAATCACACCCATCAGGATTTGTGACTAGCAGCTACCCGTCACAGGTGGCTGTGAGATGACAGGTGGTGCCACTTAATGCTAACAATGGGACCTGCCTGAAGGGAAAAAATTGAACATACCCTCTTCTCTCTCCTCTTCAGTCTGACAGCTTTCACCGCAGAGGAATCCCAGTCCTGTGGAAAACAGTCAGCACTGGTCAGCTCGGTGTAAACACCGCACCTCCTCTGGTCCCCACTTTCATTAAGTTCTACCCAATAGCACACCAGAGAAGTGCAGATCAGTTCTACCAGTTTAATACCGTAGTAATCTAAACACAGGAGGTCTCTGGAGATTACCCCACAGGTTTAAGATTTCATAGTTTAGAACTTGGAATTACATTACCAGTGAATCATCAGTCTTGTCAAAGCTGATGTCTGACAGAATTGAGCCAGATTCATCTATTGTAGACAGTCTAAAAACCAAGAATTAGAAGAAGCATGCATCAGTTCAGCTTGCAGGCAGCTGTGGTTGCTCCCAAAGCAGCCTTACACAAAAGAGCTCTATTTCAAACTGGAATAAAAGTGAAACTGTTGATATGGATGCAGCATGTATTACAGACACACACAGCTAGACCAATACCTGTCACTTACGCCGTTCAGACAAAACCATTTTGCCTACCTCTTGTTGCCTGAACCTCCGACAGAAACCTGTGGTCTGTTAAGAAAGGCAAGGGCAGACTTCTGTTCTTCACTTAGCTGAATGCTCCCAGATGCATCACACATGAGCAGCTCTCGAATCAGTTGTATTTGCCTCTCCTGAAAAAGAGAGAGAATATCAGAAGCCATTTAACTACGTGAACCAATCTCAGCTATTTGAGACACCACAGATAGGCTCTCAGAAGTTGCTAAGAGCAAGTCCAGCACTCAGGCTGTTGATGGCTGCAAAGCCCAGGCTCTGCCAGGCAATAGCAGCTCAACTCCAAACAGCAACCCTTTGCCTTCCAGGCCAAAGCAGAAAGCCATTACAAGGAGCCAAACCTCCTTCTCACTGATTTTTTATTCCCCCTCGTTTTGTTTGGGGTTTTTTTTTTCCCCCCCCTTCAGTCCTTATTTCCCATGGATAATTGCAGCTTAACCACCTTCTCTCCACATTAACTGGAGCTAACCAGTAACAAAAGAAACACTCACCAGCTTCTCACAGTCTGCTTCAGCTTTTTGCCTGCGTTTGATCTCTACATCCACTTGATTGCGAGCGTGTTTCAGCTTCACATCCAAAGCACTACGCTCAGCTTCACTTTTCATCACAAGGTCTTTGTACCTACCAAGCTCCTGCTCGGTTTTCTGCCACTTTCTTCGAAAGTCTTCAAAGTTCCTTGCCAACTGAATGAATTCTGGAGAAAAGGCACATACATTACTCAGATTAAGAGAGGAGATGCAGCAGCTCTCCTATCATTGAGAGCAGGTTTCTGTTAATTAAATAAAATCTCTATTAACTGAAGCGTGGAGAGGCTGGCCTTGCAGCAAACCCTGCTATACTCCAGATGTTCCCAAGATCTCACACCCTTTTCAGACCAAATCCCAGTATCAGCATCAAGCAGAAGATAGCTCATGTGAGACCATGGCAAAGCCAGCTTGCTTTCATCCTGCGACTTCCTATTTCTCAACAATAGGAAAAGAAAGAACCCTCAAATCTGACTGCCTGTAAGAGTGCTGCTACCCAAAGCCTCATCAAAGGATCCTTCAATAACAGCTAACGATGTTTGCTGCAAGAATATAAACACACAGATGCTGCTCGCTGCCACAAAACTTACGGTATTCGTTTCCTTCACTTAAAACTTCAGCCTGGCGTATGAGTTGGTCACACAAATTCCACAGATTTCTCATCGTGGTATCCATCCTCCTGCCAAGAAAACAGAACTAAATGAACACCTGCAGGTGAAAAATGCATTAGCAGCCCAAAGAAGAGAGAATCCCTTTCAGAATTCTCTTTTCTTTCGGCAAGATGTAAAAGCTGCCCCCAAAAAAGGCTTATGCTTTATGAAAAGACCTGCATCTAAACTCTTAAGAAGCAAAGACACTCAGCCTTCCAGAACTCAGTATTAGAACAGCACAGCTCTTCAAACAGCCTGCAGGGCATTACAGAGGAGGCAAAAGAAGGAATCACAAACCATTTCCTTTCTGCAAGGCTGCAGGACGTGGCTCGGGCCCACTTTGGTGCTATGTAGGCCACCAGAATTCAGAGCTTCACGAGGTAAAAATAGAAGCAGCGTTCTGAGGAATTTCAATACCGTGTTAAATTTAGCCGCATTTTAAGTTACAGCTCCTGCTGCAAACGGCCTTGGAAACGCAGGCAGTCAGCAAAATTCCTTCAAACAGCAAAAACAACGGAATAAACAGGAGCAGTGAAGAGGAAAGTCTCGAGCTCAGCAGCACAGAACGCAGTTCCTTACTAGAGAAAGGGCACTCGGGACAGCCTTGGTTAATGAATGAGCAGGGTGGCTGGGAGAAGAGCCAGGAGGGGCAGAAGGCCCGGTTACAGACCCACAGCCAGGGGTTTTCAGCTCGGAAAAGTGAAGCTTCTGCAGTGCAAAGGGCGCTTCCATAACCCAGCAGCACCGCAACGCGCCCGCAGCTCCACACCGAGCCTCACAGCCGCCTCCCGGGGCACAGAGAGCCGGAAAGCCCTGAGATAAAGGGCGGGAAAGCCCTGAGGTAACGCTGCACGCACCGGGAAGCGACCCGACTTTCCCTCCGCCCGGCACTAAGGCCCCACCGAGATTCCTCCGTCAGAGAACGGAGCCCCGCGGACCACCCCCGCCCTCAGCCCAAGACCCTGCGGGGGCGGGCGGGCCCGGGGGTCCGACACCAGAACCCCGCGGACCCCAACCCCGGCCCGGTTTCCCCCACTCACTCACGGCGCTCAAGCTCCCACTCCAACAGCCGGCCTCAACCGCCCCGCGATTCGGTTTGAATCCCCGCAGCCAGCCAATCCCAGAACGCTCTCCACCCTCCCGGTTTCTGATTGGTTGTTCTCGTTGTGAGTCTGAAGTCAAGCCGGCGCCATGTTTGTTAAGGGCAACGCTGTTCCGCGCCGCTGATTGCGGAGCTGCTGGGTGATGAAGCCGACCAGGCGCCATCGTTACTATTGGCAGCTGCTTCTAGCCTGCGCTGCTTAGCAACAGAGCAGGCGGGGGATGGCGGCGGGGACTGAAACCCCAACCCTTGGGCTGCTCCTTCTGCAATGACCCCGAGCGCAGCCATTGGCAGCAGAGGGGTATTTTGGAGGAAAAAAAAAGCTGTTCTCAGGCCGAACCCCGCGACTGTGACTTTATGCTACACCAATGGCACAAAGTATGGCAGGGTTCCGGAGCCCACGGTGCATTGGTTTTGCAGAGTGACATCAGACGCTCAATGAGCCCCAGAGCTGTTTCTGAGAACTGAAGCTTTCCAGGAGGCTGTTGGTTCCGTTTGTCCCTTGAGAAGAATGATGGCCTTTTGTCTTCCATCTGAGCCAACCGCCCCACGGGCCAAAAGGCAAAGCCCCATTTCGTGCCTCCTCCATTTACAGACCTTTAATGCAAATAAAACGCAAACCAAAACCCAACAATTACAAGAAACGGAATCACATCATCGCAAAATAACAGTGCACTTTAATCTTTGAAACCTGAAACAAAACAGTGGGTAATTGAAGAATGGATATTAGCAATTAGAAAGCGGAACTAAATGCTTGAAATTGCTAAGTGGGAAAGCAAGTTCATAAAGCAGATTGCTCTCAAAGATCCACATGCTTCGTCAGGACTGTGTTATTTGGGCTATATAGTCTGCTTTAACTTAATAATTAATTCATAATAGGTTTCAAAAAGCTTTAAGGTTCCCTGAAGAGTAAACAGCAAGGAGGTATTGAGGGGAACAGTGGTCAGAATTATCCACATTTACGGAAGAACTGAGGCCTGGAGGAGAAATGCCTCATCCTCTGCGCCAATGGCAAAGCAAAACGAAGATGCCAGCCTTGATATTTCACCTTGTGGCACAAAGCAAATCATCCAGAACCCCAATTTGCCCCAGTCTAGAAAACAAATCCAGGGTTGGTTGTTGGGGCTGGACCTGCTGAGAGCCTCTGGTACACCCACAAAGCATTTTGTACCCCCATTTCTGGGGAGATTTCGTGATTTCAGCTGCAGCCCTGGGCCTCCTGCAGCTCCTGCCCATAATTAAATCTTCTAAGCTAAGACATCTCTGTTGGCTGAATGTATTTATAGGTAGGTGAGTTGTTTTAGTGTCATTCTGAAGAGCTGAAGAGGCTTTTGCTCATAAGCAAATTCTCCCTCTTCTCAGTAGTCACCTGCAGTCTGATACAGGCTGGTTTGTTTAGCAATAGGGACCAGTGTATTCGTTTAAGGAGCAATATATCAGTTTAGCAAAAGGAATCAATGAGTGCTAAATCCAAAATTTTCCATTTCCAATTTGCTTGGTGTGTGAACAGCCTTGTTTTCTCTTAATTCTGCTTCTCAGAGCACTAGAGTCATAATAAACTACTGATCTTTGTACTTCACCAGGGGTAAGGATATTTTCCTTGGATTTCACAAGTTATTGTTTTGGAATTTGCTCATTATGGCCTAACGAGCGTGAGAAATTGGCCAAATTGGGGAAAAACAGCTCAAGGTCAGCAAAAATGGCTCAGTGATGAAACTGATGGTGGAAAAATGCGGAGAAAGCAAGCGGGTGTATGACCACCCTAGGTAGTAGAATACGTATGCCATTGGCATACACAGGTATGTCCTAACTGTTAAAATGTAGAACCTGAGCTCTGAGAGATTTGGTTGTCAGGTCATCCGGTCCATATGGTGAGGAATAAAGGAATGTCGCTTTCTAACACCGTATCGCAGCTGGAGTTTTCTTCCCAGATTTTGGATGACAAGTCTCTTGCCAATAAAAAGGCGCATCATTTTATGTAATGGCCCACATGGCACTTGTAGTGAGCTGCCACATTAGGCAGTGTGTTTTTCAGCCTGATGCACATTCCATTTCCTCCATGCAATTTCAGGCGTCGTGTCTCCCACTCTTCCTCTAAAACCAGTGAGGGTTTGAAGGACACTGGGAACTGAATCCCCCATAGGAGCTCCTCCAGGAATCTCCTTGTGAACAACGATGCTCTGCTGTGGCCAACAGGACAGACAAGCAGGTTCTGGGGAGCTCAGTAAGATTTCCCTTTCCTCTTCCATGGCAAATCTATGGTGAGAGCAGGCAGGCCAGATGCACCCTTCACATCTCACTTTATTTCAAAGCAGAAGACAAGGCACGAGGATTGAGGGCCTTTATTGCAAAGCAATTATACTCTCTTTTGTTTGTGTCAAGTGTGGGGGGAGAAGCCTTGAAACGTCTCATCTGGGAAACCGTTAATAGAATTTATGCTAATTTGATGATTCCGGCGATTACTGGCGGAAGCACTCCACATTTTCAGGCAGCTGAAATTCTCCTCGAGCTCCTCCTGCAATCTCACTCGGTTTGGTTGCTCGCCCGTTCTCATGCAGATACTGGATTCTTGCTTGCTGGGAGATGCCTGGGATGTTTGGGCACAGAAGTGCCTCCATCCTTCGGGTGCAGGATGCAGAGGGAGCTGCCCCAGCACAGCACCATGTTAGCAAGTAGCCCTGCAGCAACAAACCTTCCCCACCAGCCTCGACTTCTGGTGGAGCTTCGCACAAATCTCTCTGCCTGGCTCCTGCCTAATTAACTTCGGAATTGCAAACCCATTTGTGCAGCTTTGTGCTTAGGGGAAGCCTTTATTAAGTTCTTCTTAATCCAAAACCAGTTAGAGCGCGCTGGTCTTCATGAGCAGTCATCCAAAGAAAGAAAAACCACCCCAAAAAAAGCAGAGCTTGAAACTTTCAGCCAGCAATCTTTCTCTAGGGGAAAACAAAAAGCGGAACAAATTATCTTAGGTGCATTTCTCTTGATTCAGCACTGATTTCAGAATTCAGGCATTCAGTGGCATTCGGAGAACACCCGGCAGGCTGAGCAGGGAGGGCAGCCTGGGTTCAGCTGGAGGCAACCGGACATTTTTGGGTATGGATTCCTAATTTTTCACAGCTTGCCCGAGCCGCAGGCCGGCAGATGGCATCACGCTCATGTTGTTGGGTGATAGCAGGCTTTGCCACCACTCAGCTGTGCAAAATATTGCTCGGCGCTTTGCCCGTGCAGCCTGCAAGGAGCGTGCCAAAGGAGCAGAGCTTGCACCATGAAGCCAAAGCAGCCGGGTTTGCTTGTGGTCGTCCGCCTGTGCGATTCCTCCAGCAGTGACCAGCAATGGGGTAAAGAGCACTTGGATGAGATCAGAACAATCTGGTGCCTGCAGCAGCGCGCAGCCCATCCCTTCTGCAATGGTGCATCGATGGCGGTGGAGGAGGCACGGCCTAATCTTGAACTCGTTAAAAAACAATGGGAGTCTTTTTATTGCCTTCATCTGGCTTTTAATGAATGACCTCTTGTCGCCAGGAGCTACGTGTGGTGACAAAGGGTCTTTGTGGGCCGATATTTATGATTTCATTTAAGCCGGGGAGTAAGCTAAAGGGAGAGGGCTGGGAAATAAGAGCTGAGCTGATGCTTCCTGCTTTAAACTCAAGGGATCTTTATCTGGAGTTTTTGTATTAATCCAGTTGTCATCTCTTAAATATTTGAGCAACTCACAGCCACGAATTGGCAGAACACAAAGGTCACGGCTCGGTGACACAGCAGGGAAGGACTCTCCCAGTCCCCACACATTTCTTCAGTCCTTCGGTTAAGATGGGAGGAAGGATTTGCGTTTTCCTAGCCTCCCCCGCCCCCGAATTGCATACACATGGAGCACACCAAGCCCTGCTGTGAGTGTGCAACCCACTGGTGTGCAGCCCCAGGCTCAGCACAGCCACCGGGTCCCAACCTCCTCGCACCGCTACTCTCCAGCGCTGATAAACGTGCGCCTTTTCCCTGGACGGGGTTCAGCGATGGATTAAGCAGCTGGGAGTCTGGAGGAGAGCGCGGCCCCTCTCTTTTGCCATGCAAACAGAGAAAATTAATCTTCCAGCTTCCTCTGATATTTGGGCTAAATTACAAGCTGGGAGCGGAGATAAAGGACGGGCGAAAGGAAGGCACAGGTACAGCGGAGAGCCAGGCTGCTTGGCACAGGCCCTTGTCCGTGCAGATAACAGCTCTCCTCCCTGTGTCATGCATAATTCACCAGCACTGCCTCCCTCTGTCCTGGTCATCCCTTTCTGTTTTCTCTCCTCCAGAAACCGGCAGCTTCCCCGTCCACGTAAACCCGTGCATCTCATCCAGGCTACGTGTGGGTGCAGGAAGGAGAGTAAGCACAGGTGTGTGCCCAGAAACACAGCAGCGACGTGCAGACCTCAGCTGTAGCAGCACAGTGCTCTGCTGGTTTGGGAGACACCGACACCAACACAGCCAA